TCTCAGTACCCGCGTATATATGATCTACCTAAGGTCCATAAGGAAGTTATACCCCTTAGATTTATTTTGTTCATGTTGGACTCAGTGCGACACGAATTGGCAAAATGGGTGTCCGAGTTCTTACAGCTGGTTTCAGATTTGTTTTCTTCTTTTTCTGACAGTGATTTTTTTCTGTTTTCTCAATTTATTAGAGATTCCGATTTGTGTTCGGTGGACAAGCTGATGGTTTCTTTTGTTATTGTCAGCTTGTTCATTAATGTTTGTCTTCGGGGGACATTATAAATCTGCACTGTTGCTTTTTATAGGAGTATTTTGGTTCTCCTAGTATTCCGGAAAACTTGTTTCTGGAATTTATGCATTTAGCCACAGAGGGGATCGAATTTAGTTTTAATAATATTATGTATTCCCAGATTGATGGCACATCGATGTGCAGCCCATTGGAGTCGGGCAGAGTCTCTGGTTGAATCTCTTGATTCCTCCCTCTCTTCCCGGTACCAACCTTATTTATATGGTCGGTACTCCACTATGCAAATTAGGTGGATCCTACCACAACACTATGTTATGTAGGTTTATCCCTTTTTAAAATCTTTCGAAGTTAAGCTTCATTCCCTCCATCCATTCTTTAGGTTTACTATGGAAGTGGAGAGTGATTCCGCCTTTTTGGATGTGCTCTTTGAACGGGAATAGGCGTCGCTTATTACAAGTATACATCGTAGGCCCACTTTTATTGGATTGTACACCAACTGGAATTCTTTAGTCCCAAATTCCAGTAAGATTAATTTAATTTCTACCTTTGTCCATCGTTCCTTGTAAGTTGGTGGAGGAATTGGCGAACATTTACAATATTTTCCGGGATAATTGTTACCTTGAGAATGTGGTCATTTGGAACCTAAGATTAAGCGTTTTAAGGCTCCTTCGGTTCGGGGACCTGGCCTTTGTCCAGTATATTTAAAACTACCATGGTTGGATAGGATGAGTCAGACGCTTGCTGATAGGGTATCAGTTTGTGTGACATTTTGCTTTTCTTCTGTCAATCTGCGTGTTGTATTTAATGCTATTCCGGTGTTCCTATTTTTCGCTAAGGATCGTTTGCCTTATCAGCAATTTAAATGTCGGTGTGAGGCTGACTATGTGGGGCAAACCAAATTACCGTTCGAGACTCAGTAACCCTAACCCTGCTTATATAAGACAGAGTGGAGCTAGTAACAGTAATCGTTTGACTCAGTCAGTATGTGAGGCAGTGAATTAGACTTCATTTGAATAAAAATCCAGTTTCCCTTTTCGAATATGTTGACAGAACGTTCAAGGTGCTGCAAAGGGATAGGTCGGTTAAACATTTACGGTTTTTAGAAACAGCTTACATCAAGCTTCATCGACTAATATATATATATATATATATATATATATATATATATATATATATATATATATATATATGTATGTATGTATGTATGTATATATATATATATATTATAATTATTTAAAAAATATGGTTCCTTCGCTACATAAGAGTTCTCATGTTTCAAAAACGAGAGCCAAAAACCTCAATATAATTATTAAAATTAAATTAAGTAAAAGTATCAAGCCCTGTTTCATCCTCAAGCGAAAATTTAGGAATCTCGCTTGAGGATGAAACAGGGCTTGATACTTTTACTTAATTTAATGTGTAAATTCAAATTATGGTTAGACTCATTACAGTGAGCGACTAATTAATCGAGGGCGTTGCTTTGTAAAAGATCCCTTTTGTATTGTATTCATATAATCTTTTACTTGTAGCAATCATTACAGGTGATAAAGTAAACTCCTCTTTCAAGTTTTATTTAAAATTACTCTTGATTTGTACAAATTTATATATCGTTTTCCCATGGCTTTTATGTATTTAAACTGAATATATTATCTAATGCATATGGTATTTTAAAAAAGCAAATAATTTAAATTCAGAATTTGATAATCTTGCGATCAGTGAAGCAACAAGTACCCAACTAGTATTTAATAAAGGAATATGTCCATAAATTTGATGTAATGGGTTAATGAAGTATGAGGTGTGTGATATAAATTGAAAGGTCGTAGGAAGTGAAAATCACGATGATAAGGAGGATATACAGGAAATAACTTGAAGATATTCTGATTGTAATGATCAAGGAAGCATCCACGTGGGAGTCTGTCCCTGGGAAAAAAGCTGTCTAAATAGAAGTTTTTCTTATCTGTGTTCTAGCTGTAAAAGTCTGAACCGGTAGAATTGTTCGCTATATGCGAGCCTTGTGTATCACACAGAAAGTATTATTTTCAGACAGAACGTATTCTAAATTTATGTTGAAAGACATTATTTTGTTATTCTGAAGTACACGGATGTAATTATAAGGGATTATTAGAATGTCTATCAAACACGTTTAGAAAAGAGGAGGATTGAACTGATCATTTCTAGACAGTCTTTGAGACATTGCAATAATTAGAAGGAGAATGGGTAGCTGCTCGGATTGAGGAATCGGATATTCGAATTCCAATCGAATCCATTAGATTCACTTACGTGCTAATACCCTTGGGAAAGGTATGGATCTTCTTCTTCTCCCCCAGCTATGGGTAAATAGAAGGACAGACCGGGTTCTTGAACGGCAACTGGCTACCTATAAATGGCAACCTACTGCGGGAAAAATTTGCCTCGTCAGTCATGTATCGAAAGATACATGATCGCCTAAGCTTGTATTACGCATGGCACGTAACTGAATATTTAGTTATAATTATATTCGTTTGAATTTCTGGGTTGAAGGATTTTTTTTTTTTACATTATTTGCATACGGACTATTGTCCTCATCTTTGTTGTTGTTATCACAACGTTTCTACCCTTGGGTTGTCCGGCTTCCCTATATCGATCCGGATAACATTCAAGAAATTCAGAAATTAACCCTTTATTTAATCAACGCAGGTAGACTGTTCTCTTTCCACTGCCCATGTCTAGGGATATATTGTCTAGTTCTTATTTTTAGTACTGCTCAGTTATTGCTCGTCCATATTCAGAGCAGTTTTTATCTTCTCAGTTTTAAATAAAAGACGTCTTCGTTTACAACAGATTGCTGCAGTCTGTCTTGTTAATCAAATATTTATATCGATTTGATAAATATTAATAAAAGAAACAAGCTCTAAAGTCCCGGTGATTAATTCTGAAAAGCCACATTCTGTCTTTGCTGAAGCAAAGATCGTTGGAGGTGATTTGAGTTCAAATTGTTCTTATCTGACGGCGTGAGAACTACAATGTATAAAAATTAGCAAAGGACACTTGAACATGACACGAGAGAAAATGTTGAAAACCATAGAAGTCATAACGGCACCCACCTACTCTTACATTTGTTATAATTCAATCCAAATCATAAGATGAGGGAATTAGCAATGATTATAATCACAAGAATCTCCCTTTCCATTTCTTACTATTTTTTTATTAAATTCTTAACTGTATGTTATATATATATATATATATATATATATATATATATATACACTACAGTTCAAAAATTTGAAACCACCCCCAGAATGAGCATGAGCTGAACTTGATAGAAAAATGAAAAAAAAATGGGAAAGAGGCTCTTAGAATCATTGAAAAAAGAATGGAATCAATTATCAAACATATACTTTTGCAACGAATGTCAAAAATTTGTGCTTTTGCAACGAATGTCAAAAATTTGTGCTGCCATAATCAATGTTAAAGGAAGATATTTTGACAAGGGCAAAATTTAATCATAAAATGCTTTTTTACTTTTTGTCATAATAAAATTTCTAATAAAATAATCATGTCTCACTTTTTAACCAATTATAATAATTTGATCTTATTTAAAGTACAAAACAACTAATTTTGGGGCCAATTTAAAAAATTACTAGGAGTGACATCAACCTTTTGAACTGTAGTATATATATATATATATATATATATATATATATATATATATATATGTATATTAAAAAAGAAGAGAGGTGCCGCAAACGTTTTTTGGTTGTAATGTGGATTTATTTAGAAAAATATTATGCTTTGTTTTACATAATTTTGACACGTGTGTGTGTGTGTGTGTGTGTGTGTGTGTGTGACACATTTTCCCAAACTGCATGGACCACACACACACACACACACACACACACACACACACACACACACACACACACACACACACACACACACGTGTCGTAAAATTATGTAAAACAAAGCATAATATTTTTCTAAATAAATCCACATTACAACCAAAAACGTTTGCGGCACCTCTCTTTTTTTAATATACATACTTTTCTCTCGTTGGAACCACTACAACATATTTCTTTTATATATATATATATATATATATATATATATATATATATATATATATATATATATATATATATATGTGTATTTGTATGTTTTCTCGGTAACATTTAGCTTTTCACTTTTTTTAACATTCTTTTCACTATGGCGCCAAGTGGCTCTGTATTCGTTATGATAATGGCGGACTATTTAATATTGTTTATGAAGCTTCGTTGGCGATATCTACTGAGTATGGAGTTCATTTCTTACTGGGTATCTTATTTTGCAGTTTTTTAACAGAATACACTAAACCTAGAAAATTGCAATTTCAGTTTCAAGGTTACATTTTCTTGTCTCTCATTTTCTTCTTCTTCTTCTTCTTCTTCTTCTTCTTCTTCTTCTTCTTCTTGCTTCCTCTGCATTGTAACGTTCTTCCCATTCTTTTTTCTTACTCTCCGTGTTGATGTCGACCCTAGCGTCATTTTCTCCTTTATCTCTCCTCTGCCTTTTCCGGTTCCCTTTTCTTTGACTATTCGTTGCTTTCCCCTTCACCTACTCTCCTCGTCTTTGTTCCCCTCGCTTTCTTTATACTCCCTTTTTACTTTGTCTCTCTCTCTCTCTCTGCACTTCTCCTCCGTCTACTTCTCCATCCTTTTTTCTTTGTGTCTCTGTTGCTTCTCTCTTCCTTTCACGCCCTTTCTTTTGGTACCTCTCTCTTTTCTCTTTGTATCTACCTGTTCACCTCTTCTCCCCCTCTCCGTTTCTCTATTCTTCTCTTTTGCTTTCTTTCCTTTCCACAACTCTATTTGTATCCCTTAGCTTTCTCTTTTCTCAATCTCTCTCTTTCTCTCTCTCTCTCTCTATATATATATCTTTGTTCCTTCTTTCTCTCACCGCACCTCTTTTTTGTTTCCTTGCTCTTTCCTCTTTGTTACATTATATTTCATTGCTAATTCACTATATCCTGCTAGATTTATCGGCCAACTTATTCGTCAACGTCCTCGATTCACTTGGCTGCATTTGAAACATTCACACACGGCTACCTGTGAAATCAACAGATATGAAAGAGAGAGAGAGAGATTTAGAAATATTACTGACATTTTTTTGCCTATTTTTTAAAAGCAGATTTTAATAAGATAAACAAGTATAGAAAAAAGTCAACTAAAATACAATTAAAAAAAATATCATCATTCTCATTAACGAGTAAATATAATTTGCATTTTTAATTATCCATAATTATAATAGAATTATTAGTCAAAACCTTCCTGTTCTGAAATGGAAACATTACTATGCTAAGTACGAAATATCTATTCATTGATTCATAACAATGTGTCGATTTGTATTAACTGCGTGTTGTACCAATATGTAATCAGTTGTTATTTACACAAACACTCACGCAGAGCTGTCTATATTTCTAAGATGAGGTATTGTAACTATTTACATTATTTACATTGTTCGGACTATTGTCCTCATCTTTGTTGAAATATTTACGACGTTTCGACCGTTGTACACTCCGGCCTTCTACAGGTGATATACAATGGAATTCCGAACTGAGTCCTTTATTTCGTATGGCTCAGTGGATAAAAGCGTTGGTTGAAGGAATCCAGTGACCTGACCCAAATAGGTGAACAAAAACTTAGAGAGTTCCGTTACTAAAGGGAAATAACTGAAACTGAGAGATCCAAGTGTGGCATGACATGTGGAACTAGAACAATCAACCCCGGTGGCCGAAATAAATGGTCCGGTTCGAAATTCCAACATATATTACCTGAAGAAGGCTGAAACGTCCTAAATATGGCAATAAAGATGAGGACTCAAGCAGATATCATGAAAATAGAGACATTAGAATATTACAAAGACAACCAAAATAGTCATTACTGTGCTATGTACGAAATATCTATTCATTGATTCATAACAATGTGTCGATCTGTATTTACTATGTGTTGTACCAATATATAGTCAGTTGTTATTTATACAAACACTCACGCAGAGCTGTCTACATTTCTGAGATGAGGTATTGTAACTATTTACATTGATTGGACTATTGTCCTCATCTGTATTGTCATATTCACAACGTTTCGGCCGTTATAGGCTCCGGCCTTCTACAGACTTCATCCGAAACATACTAGTAGAAAACACAAACCTAATAACCTCATCCATCTGTAAAAAAGATTAAAAATAATGGGAGCCTTAATAATAAAAAAGAAAAAGCCAACACTTAACAATATTAACTATGAACAAGGCCACAATAAGCTTACTGGAAAATAAAACATCCCTATAACGCTAAAGACATACACACATAATGCACAAACTCAATTAAATTGAAAAAACAAAACAAAACAAAAAAAACATCCTTCATAATGGCGAAAAGTATAGCCGAAAGCGTTCGGGATTATAGAACATTACGACAGTTCCTACACTCTGTGTCCAAAAAAGAAAACACTTGTTAGAACACACAAAAAAAAATGAAATAAAAAGGTTAATCGTAGTACCTTGTCTGTTGTTTTTAATGAAACATGCATATATATATATATATATATATATATATATATATATATATATATATAGTTTTAACGCGTGCTATATTTATGGGATAAAGTACTCAATATCAGAGATAGAGCGTATGTAAATATAAAAGTGAACATTGAAGTCAACACTCAGAGGCGACAGTCTGTTTCATGCTAGACGCAATCGTCAGGCCGTCTCATTAAATAATTAAGAAAGTTTTGTGTGCTTATTTTTAATAGGATCCTCTCGTAATTTGCCATAATTGTTGTATCAAATCAGTAATAAATCATGGTTCCTCTGGTAATTACGGACAAGTTTCTTAGTATTCTTATTATAGGAAGAAATTACTATGTTGGTAATTCCAATTACTTTCGAAATTTGCACAATGTCATCATCAGGATCTTGTTTATTCTAAGACAAAATTGTGTTCATCTGAAAATTAAATTTTTACTCGTGAAGTGAAAAACGCTAAGTTTATGTACTGTACGATTTTTAAATTTTATGATGTAAACACACGGCGAATATCAAGGGAGGTAACTAAGCTATTTAAATGTCTAAATATTAAAAAAAAGTCTATTTAAAACTATTAGTTAAAACCTAGATATTTTAAACTACCTACTGTAAACATTTTAAAATATTTGTTCAATATTCATAATTAATTTTATTATGGGTTCGTTTCAGTATTTTAATAGCGATGGCTTCAAGAATTTTTAGTTTATGTTTATTATTTTCATGATAAAGTATAGATATATTTTCCACAAGAATTCTCCTAAATTGAGAATGTGGACATGCATGCTGCTTTAATAGGTGAGAGAAATTAGATGCCTTATTCAAGGACCAGATTTGAGAAATTCTAAGAAGATACATGCCATTATTCCACTAAGAGGTGATCCCATTAGCAATCCAAATTTTTATTTGTGAAAATCATTATTAAAGGTGTAATAGCATTGATTGGTGATGAGACTTCAGATTTTTATTATTTTAGCTGTTGGTAGGGAGAGTTTAGCCTTAGAATGTGTTAGATGCTTTTTTTAGGAGATTTAGGCATTTTTCAACTGGGACGTTGGTGTAAAGATATTTTATAGCTAGACTGGCCATGAGTTTGTGTGTCATGTTCATTTCCCTTAGCTTTTCAACTAAGCTGCCTGATTTCTTTATATGAGATCGACTGATTGTTCCAAGTAGAGGGGTTAGAATTTTTTATGGCTTATGCCAGTTTGTGGAGGGGACGCTGTCTATTCCTGAGATTTAACAAGGATATTAGGAAACTAATTAAAACTGAAAACAAATAACAGAATATCACCCTAGGACACCAAAACTTTACGATCTTCTTAAACCCCACAAAATAGGTATCCCGATGCGCCCCACCATCTCAGAAATAGTTGTATCAGCTGCATAGATACCTAGTTGGGTACTGATAATGTCTGGAAGCTCGTTGATGAACATCGGAAGTCCGATGGTAGAGCTATGTGAGACCCTTGCATTGATATCAGATGAAGCGTGTCCATTAAACGCGACCTTCATTAGACGATATGTTAGAAACGATTGGATTAGGCCAAATATTCGTCCAGAAACATCGTGGAGAAAGGCTGGTATATCTAACACCGTCGAACGCCTTTGAGATATCTCGGGTCATAGCCCAACCATAGTCGTTCTTATCTAAAGCATGACAAATTCAGGGCCTTAACGAGCTGTATTACGGAATAAGAATCCAACGGAATAGTTTGTATATAATTTCTATATTGACATGTTTCACATATTTTAAATATCTAACTCACTTGATGAACATATGACCGAGTGGTTAAAATGTTCGAATGTGAGTCCCGGATTCGAATCTCACCAAGATTTGTCAGGAAGGTGAAAATTGGGTAGACAGAATCATTGGGCCTGTTGATAGCTGTGCTAGCATGAAGTCACAAGTCATCGTGGTCGAGGGCTTGAGCGTACTAGATAACACGCTCTTTCCCAGAAACTGTAACTAAGGTCTGCTCGGCATAGTTGCAGTATAAACCACAGGTGGGTGTTGAATAAACACAAATGCGCCTGAGCAATCGGCTGCAATAGGGATTGGATAGCCGGCCTAGTAGACGGGTATCCTCGAATAGGTGTGTCCAGCTATACATATCTAATCACCAAAATGTTTAAGATGTGCAATATATAGATGACATAAACAAGTATAGCGTGATTAAATCATCTACCTGGCTACTGGAAATAAATAAATATCAACATATTAATATATATAACGTAATATTTATCCGTTATACTTTTTTCTGTCTTTACATTTTGACATATATAAAAAAATTAATGTGTTAAATCCGTCAGTTAAGTGCCATACGTGAAACACGCTTGGGGATCATCTCTCTCCACAACTTCCTTGCCTATATAACTGCTGACTCTTTCAGTTAAGTGCCATACGTGAAACACGCTTGGGGGATCATCTCTCTCCACAACGTCCTTGTCTAAATAACTGCTGACTCTTTCAGTTAAATGCCATACGTAAAACACGCCTAGGCGATCATCTCTCTCCACAACTTCCTTGCCTATATAACTGCTGACACTTTCAGTTTAGTGCCATACGTGAAAGACGCTTGGGGATCATCTCTCTCCACAACTTCCTTGCCTATATAACTGCTGACTCTTTCAGTTAAGTGCCATACGTGAAACACGCTTGGGTGATCATCTCTCTCCACAACTTCCTTGCCTATATAACTGCTGACTCTTTAAGTTAAGTGACATACATGAAACAGGTTTAGGGGATCATCTCTCTCCACAACTTCCTTGTCTAAATAGCTGCGGACTCTTTCAGTTAAGTGCCACACATGAAACAGGTTTGGGGGATCATCTCTCTCCACAACTTCCTTGCCTTAATAACTGCTGACTCTTTCAGTTAAGTGTCATACGTGAAACTCGCTTCGGCGATCATCTCTCTCCACAACTTCCTTGCCTATATAACTGCTGACTCTTTCAGTTTAGTGCCATACGTGAAACACGCTTGGGTGATCATTTCTCTCCACAACTTCCTTGTCTAAATAGCTGCGGACTCTTTCAGTTAAGTGCCATACATGAAACAGGTTTGGGGGATCATCTCTCTCCACAACTTCCTTGCCTATATAACTGCTGACTCTTTCAGTTAAGTGACATACATGAAACAGGTTTAGGGGATCATCTCTCTCCACAACTTCCTTGCCTATATAACTGCTGACTCTTTCAGTTAAGTGCCATACGTGA